TCGGGCAACAGCTGATGTGAGTGGAGGGTATACTATATGTACATGTATATGGGGCATCCTATGTATATGAGGGTTGTAATGTGTATGTAGTATGTACATGTATTATTATTGTGAGTGAGGGAGTGCTACCGTACAAGATGATTTATTGGTGAGGAATAAATATTGGCGATTGGTGGTTCTATGAAGAAATCACCAATATAAAACCCACCAATTTCTTTCCATAGGAAAATTTGCTAAATATTACTCTCACCAATAAATCATCTTGTACAGTATAACTTATTTAAAGGTTGTACATGTACATGTACATATATATGTAGCATGTATTGTATTGTACAGGCAATGGTTAAAGTCACTGAACTGTCAAGTCAGGTACGATCCAAAGATGATGAAATATCAAAGAAAGAGACACAGTGAGTTAAAGAAAATTCAGTGAAAGTTATTATTAATTATTGTTAATGGCATACATTTACTTTTAAAATACTTATTATTACTGCTACTTTAGGCAGGAACATTATTTTCTAAGCCTTTAATTACATTACTATTCATTGACCTCTGTTGTTAGGGAATTCCCCTGATTACCCTGTATAAACACAACACATGCTGCCTATTGTTTGTAATTAGCCTGCATAATATCATTAGCTAATGCTTGTTGCTTAAATATAAATGTTAATGTTCTTGTCATTTACTTTAGGATCCTTTCCCATTGTTTCCTGGAGAGAGATTACCTGAGAGTGGCAGTGCAACTGGTAGGTTGCTATTATGATTCTCCTTCTCTCTTCCTTTCTCTCTACTTTATCTCTCATTGATCATTTCCTAATTCATTTATTCCATTGCAATGTATCATTCATTATTAATGTGATTATTAACTGCATGGAGACTAATGCCTATAGTCTACACCAGGTCCATAGTTCACACTACATGTATGTTTATCAACACTGTTTGTTTGGGTTTAGTTTGTAAGCAATCTACTTGATATCATGAATTATACCAATTATACCAACATTCTATTATAGCATGGAACACAAAAGAGTATTTCACTCTGTTCTCTCCTCTCCCGTTTCTCTCTCTCTCCATTAGATTACTCTCGTGCTATTAAGCATCTTCCAACCATAAAAGCAGATCATGGCATACACTTGAGTGCTCTGGTTGATATGGAGGAGACTGATACTGCTCCAGCTCGTAAGGCAGGGGATGAGTGGCAGCTGAGAGGACCACTGACCTATTTACCCAAACCAGAAGAGGTCAACAGCAACTATTATTGCACATGCACAAGCCTGCAGCATGTTGGGATTTGTGGCAGAGAGAGAGAGAGAGAGGCGGTGCTCATGAGTGCAATCCAGGATTGAAGTTTGTGTAAGGGTGGGCCTGGGCTGAATATCTAGCCACAAATGGGTGTCTGTCTCCCAAGAGCTCTCTCTGGCAGCAACAGTAAATATGTGAATATAACATGAATAATGCTTCATACCTTGTCTTTGTTTAGCTGTCTAGATCTAGACGGACGCTATTACGTAAACGCACATCATGCAATACATGTATGCATGCCATTGTGATCCACAAACTATATTTGATCATCAGAAACTTTAAACAGTAGCTGTTACGGGATTATTGGTTTAATGGTGATTGTTTTTATCTCAATCTGACTCTACTTTCAGTACAATTATATTATATAGGTGAGAAGTTTGAGAGAGGGATACAAGATGCTATTATATTAGAATCTGATGAAGCTCTTCTTGTCACTGCTCAAGAGGAATTTGACGATGTTACTGAAGATGGTAAGTAATGACCTATTTACTATACTGTGTTTGGTCTGGTCTGGTCTGGTACACCACATGCAGCATTCTTAGGGATCAAGGGATTAGGATAAGTGGATAACAATGCATATATGTACATTGTAACAATTCATTTTGTAATCTTTTATCAAAACATACTGTCATCCCATGCTACAAGCAACACATCCTTAACAGTTATTGGAATATTAGAATGAAATGAAATGAAATGAAATTTACAGAAATCCAATGAATTTCTTGCATGCCATCATTGAATTTCCATTGTATGGGAGAAAATAGAAGTAATGTTGAGTACTATTATTAGGTAGTAAAGTCCATCGTACCCCTGGTGATAGGTGGATGATTCATGGACCAACTGACCATAGGGGTAGGAACAGGGGGGGCAGGAGGGGCTTAAGCCCCCCAACTTTCATTGAAGGGGGGCTTAGCCCCTCCAACTTTAAGTGATATACATGTATTACTATTATCAACACTATAGACTTTAGTTTAGGTAATCCTTATATGTGTGCATATTGTGTGATGATTCATTTCATAAAACAATTAATACACTAGCTTAACTTCTAAGAACACACTTTTATTAGTTTTTTCAGAAATACACAAGCTTCTACTTCTTTATTTAACAACTCTGTTAACATCAGTTTCAGCTGAGCATAGACTTTTGACGTTAAGGAGATTAAAAACTACTTGCGCTCCACAATGTCACAAGAGCGTCTTAATCATGTAGTTATTTGGCATACACACAAAGAATTTACAGATGATTTACACATCGAGGACATTGCAAAGGAATTTGTTACATTAAATGAGCATAGACGCCAATATTTTGGACAGTATTAATTTCAGTACATGCTATGTATTAATGATCATTTGTAAAAATAATACCTTAGCCCCCCCAACTTTTAGTTTGTTCCTACCCCTATGCAACTGACTATATACTTAGAACTGAGATTGGAAACATACAGAGGAGGTTAGTGTTCATGTACAGTTCATAAAATCAATTTAATGTCAATTAACATACTGTTCATTATCTGTTGTGTCAATGGTTGTGTGCAGCTAAAATATGTTATTACAGTAGTGTTGGCTGGCATCCAGTTACCAGTGAGCATTAGAGGCATGGTTGTAAGAGTCTGCCTCCTAATTATTATAGATAGATAAAATTAGATTATTATTGTAGATAGATAGAATTGTCTCAGAAACAACCATTGCAGCTCACCAGTTAGCATAGAGGCTTGTGAGGGTCAGCCTTTAAGTGGATAGCTACTGTTGAATTGTCTCCCCAGGCCAGTCCTACTAACCATGAATTCCTTATAGACTAAGACTAAGATTATTAATAGACTTGTGCTAGCCTGGGGGTCCAAGCCTGAAGTCCACTGTGACAGGCTGATAGCATGATGAGGGATACTTTAATTTATAGTTCCTATCTCTCTACTGTAGGAAGGCTACTCCATTGAATGAGAATGAAGGGATTTATGTTAGAAATGTTCAGTCAGGACAGGTAAACCAATACAGTACAGTACAGTACTATATTAATACTAACACTGGTGGTGTATCCAATACAGTACAGTACAGTACAGTACAGTACAGTGCTATATTAATACTAACACTGGTGGTGTGTCCAATACAGTACAGTACAGTACAGTACTATATTAATACTAACACTGGTGGTGTGTCCAATAGGTTCATGCTATATTGGGTCCTCAGTCTTATTTACTGCAAGCTGCTGAGGAACTGTATGAGAAAGAACTGACTCCATTAGCAGAAGAAATATTAAAGTAATGAACATATTGACTTGTACTTAAGATACAAACAGTAGTATCGATAGTATTGTTTATACAATGGCCAACCATAACATATCACACTTATACATGTGTGTATTGTATAGTACCCCCAACCCAACTCACATATTCTGATTTTTTGTAGGGAGGGTGGTGGTGTTGGTGATGCCAGTATTAGGAAGATAGCATATTTTGATGGAGCTAAAGATCTTTCACTCTTTATGTAATGATAAAGTAGAGACTACACTATACAAGCACCTACACAGACAACACACACACACACTCACACACCAAACATACAACAGATATAATAACAGAATCTACAGTCTATGTCCTCTTTTCCCTCTCCCTTCTTGCTTTCTTTCTTTATAGAAGCGTGACAAGACTCGTGTAGTTACTTACAGGTAACTACACACTTGTACTCTTAATCGGATTGGTGAAGGAGAGAGGAAACAGCTGGGGAGGAGAGGACTAAAGGAGGGTGTCAATTTGTTGTTATTTTCAGCTGGTAAACCAAAGAAGGAGAATGCCCTGAAGACTATTTGCCTCATGCTAGGTCCTGACTTTATATCTGACCATATTACAGTAAGTGCTCCCTTACAGCATTTACTCATTGCTACACTGATGTCCTCTTGTTGGTTTTGCAAATGATTAGCCTTTTCAGTCGTGTTGTATTTTTCATCAATCCTAAGCTAGTGATATCATATGCCTGCACTTCTCAAATGTAAATTTACTGATTATTATTATTTTTAAGTAATACAATCAATTATTTATAATATAAGAATTGCATTGAAAATAATTATCACATTGTCATGGATCTGGAGCTGCAGTCTGAGCGGTGGTTTTCTGAGCACTGTGAGTAGCTGATGTAGGTCCTTGTTGCAGAGTCCTGTGTTCAACGCAAGGTTCAACGATTACTCCAGTCACTTGGCTACTTTTCTTTACTTGATCCTTTGCTCTAGCAGTTACTCCAGTTACTAAAGAGCTATGCTCTGGGTCTCCCTGCCCTGTCTCAGTGATGGGTTCGCTTGAGTATAAAGACGAACAGTCTTCATTATCAATCTCTTCAGATTGGTGAGAGAGGGAGCAGGTATCGCAATAAGAGCTGAAGCAAGGTAGCGGCCTTGCCATTTCTCACTTGACCTAAATCTGGGCTAAAGAAAGTCAGATTAGTACCTCGAACACCTGTTGAGCTTACAGACAAGTAAGTCTTCTCCGGCGCTTTACTAATCTACCTGCAGTTAAATTCTTGGATACAAAGACACCACCATCACTCAACGTGCAACTTCAATGGATTGGCGACTGGCATGCCTATTTATAATGTGTACCGTAATTGTACGCCCACTCATCTTGCTAAATACCTGCCCAGTAAAACAACAGAAAACCACCAGCCTACTAGCTACAACTGTAGCTGCATCTAGAGTAAATAATAGTCAGGTGGGTCTGACCCTACGCCTGACTAAGTAAATAATGGTTGAATGTGTTGTTCCTTAGTTGTTCTTTTCATTACCTGTAGGTAGAGACATCAGATCATGCTCATCTTATAGTGTGTTCACACTACCTCCCCAGCTGTACAGAACTGTATCTAATTAGATTAGTTTGGTTATAAAAGAACCATGCTGGTAGCAGTTCACACTGCACAACTTAACTACACCAACTTAACTTTAAAACTTAACTACACCATTCAGAGCACCTATTTTGGTGCACCACTTTAGCCTGGTTTGGTTTGGTTACAGTGCAGTTCAGTTATGTTCACACTTGTTATAAAACTAGGCTATACTCCCCCAAAACCCAGTTCCAGTACAGTTCTGAAGGGTAGTGTGAACAGGGTATTAAGATTGCTGTATCAATGAACAATGAATTCAGAGTAAGGACACACATGGACTATAATATCATTCCTCATTCTCTCCTTCTCTTAGTTAATAAAGAAGTGATATTTACTGCCAATAACCTGGTGAGAGTTGGTGTAAATATTTTGAACTTAGTCATTCACATCCATAAGTTTGCTCTAACTGATGATACATAATTATACCTATCAATAATTGTATTAATTAATGCAAGTACAGTATGCCAATTGGGAAAGTTATGTCTTGTGCAAAACAAGGCAAAACAATGCTAAATAGCATAATGATATTCATTTGTCACATCTGTCCT